ATTAAGGCTTAAAGAAAGGAGTAACTCCATAATTTAAACTAGGCAAGTTCATATAGGGAAGTAACCATCCAGTCAGAAATGAATCCTAGTTTATTTTGATCGCTTAACATTTTTGTGGCTGTTTTCTCCTCCTGCCCAGTTTGGTGTGCTAGCTAATTAGCCAGAAGTTGGAAGCATTTCTTTGTTATGAAAACCAATGGTCATGCAAATGTAGTCCTTACCCCTGTTTAAGTACAGGATTTGTTTCTTAATTCCCTTCACTGACCCCAAAGCCAGGAGTCAACAATGCCTCCAGTGTAAGGTTTCGTTTTCCTCTGAGAACATACGCGCATGAGCACGCGCGCCCACACGCGCCCACACACGCGCGTGCACACACACACACACACACAGGCATACGCACTCACGGACACGCACAAACAGCACATCAGCATGGGATCCAAACAGAGCAGCTGAAAAGGATGTTTTGGATGAAATCTTGGCATTTATTGTTCCTGTGTGACCTGAGAAGGTCCAGGGTGCCAGGATTCAGATGGACTTCAGTTCAAGTCGCTACTCTTCCACGCTCACTTGTGAATGGGGATCGGACATCCATCTCAAAGGGTAATTTCAGGATTAAGTGGAAGAATAGAATCATTTCATCACAAAGTTGCTCTCTCACCTTGGACCAGCCCACTAGCCTTTCTGAGCCACTGTATCGGATCTGTCAAATGGATTAGATTAGATGATTTACAGAGTCCCTTGAAGCTGGAACATTCTATGATTCTCCTCCCCTGGGATCTAATTGGATTCGAGATGGGATGTTGCAAGGGCTGGAGACGTAAGGAAAGTGTGATCCTGCCCTGACACAATGCTGGATCCTGCTGCCTAGCCAGGGCTCCCTCTTTGATGTAGGCCTTTTATCAGGATGTGTTTGAGCTCTCTCCAGGGTTTGCCTGGCCATTGCACCAGGCCCCATTCTGTTCCTCATGGTTTGGGAAAGAGCCAGTAGATGTGGAGACTCACAGGCAGGATTTCTTCCCAAGAGCAGCTTGGATGGTGAAACTCACAAAGTCCAGAGAGATTTCCTGTTTTGTTTTCCACAAGCTCAAGCAACTATTGATTACAAAACACACACTCACACAAAAACAAAAGCACATACACAAACAAAACAGGATGTTCTCTCTCCTCTCATTGCTAGAGTCAAAGCAATCTCTTACCATCTGGGTCACTTTCACCCATGGCCCTGGATTTCACCAATATAGCATTAAGCCCTTAGTGCTGGCTAGAGATGTTACAGAATCTTAAGCCATGAGCCATTCTGCACGTTAATTTTAGTAAAGGGGAACCTGCAAAGGTAGGGAGAGGAAGATCCATCAGTCAGCATGACCTCATGCGATCCCATTTGGTTTCTGTCCTCATGAAACTACCCCCCCCACACCCGGTGCTGAATAACGGACGTTTGTTTTCAACATAGGTCCTGACTTGTAGTAGGAATAGTGCTATTACTGTTGTGCTAGACTCTGGCCTACATACTTTATATGCAAACACTGAGAGCGATGGACTTAAAAAAAAAAAAAATTCTAATTCACTTGAAATCTGATTTTAACTAGGCCTCCTGTATTTTGATTTGCTGAATCTGGCAACCTTACTTGGGGTCCACTGCCCCACGTGGTTAAATAGAAAAGTCCTGTGCTTGTTAGTCACAGAGATCTGGGTTGGGATTCTGCTTGCACTGTTTAGATTGCTGTGAGATCTGGGGAAAATCGCTTCACTGTGCTAATTCCTAGTTCTTTCACCTGTAAATGAAGATTATGATATCTGTATCTCTACCGTTGTGAGAATCACATTTTTTAATGCCCTTAAAGCACGTACACTGTGTAACAGGTGCTTCATGAACACTAGCTTTTATTATAATTCTTTTTTAAATTTCTTTAGTCACTACACTTAATTCAGGAGAAATTCTCTCTAGCAGAGAATATGGGTGAGAACATTCAGCAGGAGTATTGGAGCTTCCTCATCAGAGAGGCGCTGAGAGAAATGTGGTGGAGGCTCACACAATAGCATTCTTTTTTGTTTGTTTGTTTCCTCTCAAAAGCTTTATTGTTTCCATTTGGCCCACAATTTGGGAAGGGGATCTGGGGTGGTTAAAAAGCTGTCTAGTGGCTTCAGGGAGAGGCGTAGGCAGAAGCCCCTATACCAGGGGGATGCCAGGGAGGGTCCCTAAAGGCTGCTGGGCTCCAGAGGCTTCTAGTTGTGCTTGAGGGTGAGCCTTTCAAAGAGATACTAACCCAGCCCAGCTGGGCTGGGGGGTGGGGGGGGCGGGCAGCCACACGACAAGGTGAGTGAGGTGGTCGCCATCTTCTTGATAAGTTTCACCTCCTCATCTAGGAAGTGGTTCTCCAGGAAGTCACAGAGCTGGAGGTCTGCTTGGGCAGAACCCAGGGCATGCAGCTCCAAAAGGGCCTGGTTCAGGTTCTTCTCCAGAACCATGGTGGCTTCCGTGACATCTAGAGTTTTACTCCACTCATCTTGGGAAGGCTTTGGAATGTTTTGGAGGAGGGCACGGCTGCCAGTCTGGTTTTGCTTCCTCAAGAGATGTTCGGTGCCTTTGCGTTTCTCTTCAGTCAACTCACAGAAGTGGCCTACACCCTCCAGAGCCACATTGTCGAGATGGAAAGAGAAGCCCAGAGAGAGGTAGGTGTAGGAGGCCCACAGATGTACGTTGACAAGGTGGTTAATGGCAGCCTCCACGTTGATGGAGTAACTGACAAATCTAGAAACTCTTGTTTGACTGGCAATGAGGAGCTAAGCTCAGAATACAATGTTGGCTGGTCCCAGAGACAGGGGGCGGCTGAGCAGATGGTTCTGAAGGTCGTGACTGGAAGAGGTTGGAGGGTAGTCAGAAGCTGGAAGGAGGGGTCTCCCTGGGTCTGTTCTGTCCAAACACTATTGAAGCAAGAGACAGATCTGCAGGATGGCTGGGTGCATTGCTATAATAGCGTTCTTGATACACACCTCCCCTAGATCTGTGTTTTGGGTAGCTAAGAATGTAGACCCCAGACCCTCTTTACACAAACACGTTACACCTGAGTCTTGACCATGCATGATGGAAAAAGTGACACTCGGCTAACCAGGTGTCCTTGGTTATAGGCAGTATGAAACTTTCATTTAAAAAGTAACAAACATAAAAGTAACAAACTTTTACAGAAAGTAACAAACTTTTCACAGAAAGTAACAAACATAAAAGAAAAAGAAAGGACATAGGGTCTGTTACCTGGTAAAGGGGTAAGAGATCAATATTCTTTAAAGTCCCTAAGTTTAAAAAAGAGCTGTCCAACATTCTGAATCCCCAGTGCACTGGAACATCAGTGTAAATGGAGTGACTAAAGCTTAAAGCACATCCGAACCTGAGCATGAGCCTAATGATGTTTCTCAGTGTCCATTTATTTATTCAATAAATATTGACTAGATATCTGTGCCAGGTCCTGTGAGAATACTTGCTTGAATAAGGCATGGCCTGTACCCTTGGTATGAGCAGAATCTGTTGGATGAGACAGGCAAGGGGATGGGGCAGTAGGTGTGGTCTAGTGTGTTATGGTGTCCAGAAGAGGAGCATGATTCAAGGCTTAAGAAACTCAAGATGTAGGGTTCCTGGAGCGAAGGAATGTTTAAGACAGGAAGAGTGAATTGGAGTATAAGGAAGGGGGCCAGGGAATATTCCAGCAGGGAGAAAAGATTAAAAAAAAAAAAAAAAAAGACAATGAGGCACAGTGCAATTATACAGAATGTTGGGTTTTTTTGTTTGTTTTGTTTCTGATGGGGGGATGGGGTAGCTGGGTGATGGGTATTAAGGAGGGCACGTGTTGTGATGAGCACTGGGTGTTATATGCAACTGATGAATCATTGAACACTACATCAAAAACTAATGATGTACTATATACAGTGGCTACTGAACGTAAAAAAAAGCAATTATATAGAATGTTAATCATCATTCAGAGCAAGGGTCAGCAAACTGTGGACCTAGACCAAACTTAGCCTGCTTCCTGTCTTTGTAAATAAAGTTTTATCAGAACACAATCATGCCCATTCATTTCAAGTAGTATCTATGTTGCTTTCATGCCACAAAGGCAGAGCTAAGTAATTGTGGCAGAGACTATCTGGCCACAAAGCCAAAATTATTTGCTATGTGGCCCTTTACAGAAGCAATTTGTTGTCTCCTAACTTAGAGCACACTTTCCAGAAGCAGGGATTTACTATTGGTGGGAATGTTAGTGGTTGCATGAGGGTGGGTGGTAGCATGCAAGGGAAAATCAGAGGAGCGGTGACCAATGATACTGTGGAAATGGTCAGGAGCTCGAGTAAAGAGCTCAGACTTTGTCCTGAGAGCTATGGGGAGCCTCTGAAGGTTTCCGCACAGGGACGTGAGATGGTCAGATTTCTGCCAGAAGCAGCATAGCAACAAGTGATGAGTACGCTTGCTGTGGTAGGCGCCAAGTAGTGTATGAATCATTGAATCCTTACGTTGTACACTTGAGACTACTATAACGCTGTTAATTGTACTTCAATTAAAAAAAAAGGAGTTTGGGGGAGCCACACTGCTTTCATTAGATCCCAGCTCCACCACTTACTGGTTGTGAGCCTCAGGCAAGTTACCTCCACGTGCCTCACTTTTCCAATTGGTAGAATGGGAAATGGCAATAATAATAATTATAATATCTATTGCATGGGGCGAAGAAGATTAAATAAGTTAATTCAGGTAGAGTACCAGGCCCCAGAGGAGGTTCTCGGTTGTTGCTGTTACTGCCGTCCTGCCTCAGTGATCATTCCAGCTGCTGGGGAGAGAATGGCTCAGAATGGGAGAACCTGGTGGTAGAGTGCTAGGTGTTTGGGCAGGAGATGGTGTCCTGTGCCTAGGTGGATTGCTGTGAAGCTTGGGTCAGTTACTGTCATGGTCACTGGGACCTTCACTCTCAATCTCTCCACATGGTCATCATCATCTCTTCTGCCCTCCTTTATTCCAGGCCTTCAAGAGTGCACTGATGAGCTCCTACTGGTGCTCAGGGAAAGGGGACGTGATCGATGACTGGTGCAGATGTGACCTCAGCGCCTTTGATGCCAGTGGGCTCCCCAACTGCAGCCCCCTCCCACAGCCAGTGTACGTATGTATGGTCCCTCTTCCTTTGCCCACCCTTTTCATGGACTCACAGTTCTGTCCTGCCAGCGCAGGCCATGACTTGCTTCTGTTCCCAGAGTGTGTCACCAGATCTCTGACGTCTCTGGGACCTGCCTCCTTTGAGAAAACAGGGAGTTTTGGCAGAATAGAAACCAGCTTTTTTAAATGATGCCCTGTGTTTATCTTCCTCACTCATCTGCTCAGGAGAGGTTTACTGGGAACTGACTACTGTTGGAAATTGGGACCACTGAGATAAAGAGAGCATAAAACCTTTTCAAAGAAACATCATTTCCTTCATTCATTCAACAAATAATTTTTGACCACCTGCTATGTGTCAGACACTGGGGGATTCATCAATGAACAAGATGGTCTATGCACTTGGGGAGCTGACCGTTTAGTGAGGGGACAACTATCAAAGCAAAACAGGAAAATATGATACAGTTAAAAAAGTTAATAAAAATATGAAAGAAAAATGAAGAGGTGCTAGGAGAGAGAAGAATGGGGGTTGGTGTGTTAGTGGAGGGGGGGGAGTTAGGGAAGCCTCTCTGAAAAGACCTGAATAGGAGTAGTTTTCCAGATGATGAATGGCAACAGTCATGGTTCAGGCAAAAGGAAGAGCATGTGTGAAAGCCCTGATGTGGGAAATTGACCATTCGAGGAAGTTAAAGGAGGTCGTCTTGACTGATGGGGCGGGATTAAGACAGTGCCGTGAGGAGCATAGGAGAGTGGGGCAGGGGCCAATAAGGGGGAACCAGAGTCCCTTAACACCCCTCTGTGTGTGTGTTGGGGAGATTATACTGTAAGATAGTTCTTGAAGAGGTATGGTATTGTGTAATGGAAAGAGAGAAGGACTCTGGGCTGGGGACAAGCAAAGTTACTACCATCACGGTTCTGTCCCCAACTTGCTGGGTGATTTTTTGCAAATTATTTTCCTTTTCTGGGCTTTACTTCCCCATCTGTGAAATGAGATGATTGCACTTCCCAGCCGCTAAGGACCTTTCCAGTTCTAACCTTCAATCATTCTACTATGTCTTACCTTGTAAAAGGATTTTCTGGGACTCCTGCCCTCTCTGAGGGAGTATTGATTTAAGGATATTAAAGAGTTGACTGATCTATTGGATTGGAGAGAATGGCAAGAAGGTTGAGGCTACTGTGTTTGAAGGCGTTGTCAATTTAATTGACGATGAAGCATCACTGGAAATATGGTTTAGACAAATGGAAAGCTAATCAATTTTCTGTGAGCATGTATTGTGTGCTTGGATTAATTTACTGGATCCCACATTAATCCTGAAGTGTAGCTGTTCTTAACTCTGTTTTATGGACAAGGAAGTGGAGGCTGAAAGAGGTATAATGAATTGCCAGAGTCCATACAAAGGCTTGTTGGTGGATTGAAATGGGATTTGAGACCAGCCTGAATCCTGTGCTTTTAATCTTGAGACCTGCAGACTCTTTGGGGGTCCAGACAATACTGCTGGAGAACAACCAACCTTCCCTGTCACCCTTTTTAGGCTTCGTCTGTCCCCAACAGTAGAGCCCTCCAGCACAGTGGTCTCCTTGGAGTGGGTGGATGTTCAGCCAGCTATTGGGACCAAGGTCTCCGACTATATTCTGCAGCACAAGAAAGTGGATGAATACACAGATACGGACCTCTACACAGGTAAGTAGAAAGACCATGACTTCCCATTTTGTTGGGATAATGTGACAGAGGAGAAAAATGGATTTTCTAAATGCCTTTGGAGACTTACTGTCATCTGACATGGGAAGGCATTTGAGGTTTCGTGGTTTAGTGATTGTCACCTGGTGCCCATGTCTGTGGGGTTTAGTTTTGTTTTGTTTTTCATATGATTTTCAGTAGGGAATGATAGTAAATTGTAGCCCAAAGAATTTCTGATTCTCTGAGTTCAATCCCCGAAGTTCTCTATCAAAGGGTTAGTTAATTCAGAAGAGGATTTAATCTTTTCTGCTTGGAAAGGCCTACAGGTCCCGTGTTTGAATACCTGAGTCTGAAATACATTCTCTCTGGGACTGAAATCAAGAAATTCAAGGAATTGCCTTTTCTAGTGAAACATATTATCTCTAGTGAGATAGTTTTGTATTCAGTGCTGAGGAAGAGGGAATTGGAAATGATTCAGGCACACAGAAGAAGATGAGAAAAAGGACTCCTAAGAATGTTACACTTGTTTGTAACTCCTGAGTGCTCTCACTGAGTTCTGAATGGCTGACATAGCCAAGAAGCTATGCTGTCCTGGAGCTGGGCTCTGTGGGGGCTGGTGTTGCTCTCAGGCAGGCCAGGAGTCTGGGTCTGTGGTAGTCAGCCTGGCGCTGGGACCAAGTGGAGCCTGGGCCACAGAGACCAGGAACTGGCAGACGCCAGGATGGGTTGGAAGCCTGAGTTCATGGGAGCCCGGTGCCATGGAAGTTTCCGGGGCCTTGATAGCTGGTGGCCCTAGCCAGGGGCCTGGGGTCCTAAGAGTCTGCCGGGAGCCACCTACATCCAAGGGAGTCAGCTCCGTGATGGAACAGGGTAGCTACAGGGTTTCTAGTGAAGTCAGGCACACACTTCTCTCTCCTTCCACAGGGAGGATTACGATAGTGGATCTGTCTTTCCTAACCTGCTTAATATAGCTTTTCCTATTTTTGTGCTTCACCCAGGTGCTATAATCCCTTACCTAGAAACCTTAGTTCTGTGGAGGTATTTTTCTGCATGGATAGTTGTTGAAATTTATTTGAGGGGATCAGGGGTGAAGGAACAAGTGCCGATATTTTTCTAACTTCACTCTACAAATGATTACCAGCCTCATTTTACAGATTAAGTAAGTGAGTCCCTAAGAGGGTATGTGACTTTCCCAAATTCCTACAACCAGTACCTGGTGGAGCCAGGCTTTACAATCAGGTCTGACTCCCAGCACAGTGCTCGTTCTTTATGTAACATCATACTTAATGATGAGAGACTGAATGCTTGTTTGCTGAGAGATTTTTGTTTTGTTTTAATTAGAAATGGGTGTTGAATTTTCTGAGTCTATTGAAATGATCATATAATTTGTTTCTTAGTTTGTTAATACGATAAATTACATTAAAAATATGATAAATTACATTGGTCGATTTTCAAATGATAAAAAAAAAAAGCCTTACATTTCCAGAATAAATGAATTCCACATGATCATGATGCATTATCTTTTTTTTAATACATTGTTGGATTTGATGTGTTAAAATTTCATTTAGAATTTTTGCATCTATGTGAGAGATTCTGATCTATAGTTTTCTTGTAATACTTTCATCTGTTTTTGTTATCAGGGTCAATGCTGGCCACACAAAATAAATTGCAAAACATTTCCCCCCTTTTCTGTTTTCTAAAAGAGTTTGGGTAGAATTAGTAATATTTCTTCTTTAATTATTTGGTAGACTTCACTAGTAAAATAATCTGGGCTTGGAGCTTTCCCAAGAAGGTTTTAACTATCAATTTAATTGTCTGATTAGATATAGGGTTATTTAAGTTACAGCTTGTATGTTTAAAGGAATTTTCCAATTTCATATGTTACAAAATTTACTGGCAAGAAGTTGTTGGTAACATTCTATAATTATTCTTTTAATACCTGTGGAAATTACAGTGGTATCACAGTCTCATTCTTGATTTTAGTAGTTTATCTTTTTTTTTTTTTTTTCTGATTGATCTGGCTTGGAGGTTATGCAATTTATTTACCTTCTCAAACCAATCAACTTTCGTTTCATCAGTTTTCACTAATTTCCGTTTCACTGAGTTCTGTTGGGATCTTTGTTATATCTTTTCTTTGGCTGACTTGGAATTTAGTTTGCTCCTCTTTTTTCTGGATTTTTAAGGAAGTAGCTGAGGTTATTGATTTCAGATTTTTCTTGTAATATAAGTATTCCCCCCAACTACTGCTTTAGTGGCTTACCAATATTCGATAAGTTTTCATTTTCATTCAGGTCAAAATATGTTCTAATTTCCCTTTTGTTTTCTTCTTTGATTTATGGGTTCTTTACTGTTACTTATTTAATGTTACTTATTTTCCAAATATTTGCAAATTTTACAGACATCTTTTTGTTTTTAGTTTGATTTCACTATATCAAAGAACATAATTTTTATGACTTTAATCACTTTAGATCTATTGAGATTGGTTTTATGGCTCCGAATCTGGCCTGTCCATTTTAAGAGAATGTGTATCCTTCTATTTGTGGATGGGATATTAATATAAATGCCAACCAGATCAAATTGGTTAATTATGTTTTTCAAGTCTTCTAAATCCTTTCTGATTTTCTGTTTTGTTATATCAATACTTGAGAGAGTGGTATTGAAACCTCTGACAATAATTGCAAATTTATCTGTTTCTTCCTATAGGTCTTCCAGTTTTTACTCCATGCATTTTGAAGCTCTGTTATTAAGGGCACAAACATTTAGAATCACTAGATCTCCTTGATGAATTGATCCCTTTATTACTGTGAAACTGTTGTCTATATTCTTGTTATATTTTTTGCTCTAAAAGCTACTTTGTTATTGATACAACTACTCCAGCTTTCTTCTGATTAGTGTTCGATTGCTCTAACGTTTTCCATTCTTTTACTTTTATATTATTTGTGTCTTTATATTTAAAATGTATTTCTTGTAGGCAACATATATGTAGATCTTTTTAATTCTTTTTTTTTTAAATCCTGTCTGATATTGTTACCTTAACTTGTAGTATTTAGACTATTCATATTTAATGTGTTACTTTTGTGGTCAAGTTTATCGTCTTGCTACTTGTTTTCTATTGTCCCATCTTTTTTCCCTTTTTTTCTCTTTTTCTGTCTTTTTTTTTTGGATTGGGTGTTTTTGATTCCATTTTATCTCCTTCATTGACTTATTAACTATAAATATTTTTATTTTATTTTAGTGGTTGGTTTAGTGTTTATATATGCATATTCAACTTATCATGGTATACCTTGAAAGCTACTATACCACTTTATAGTATGGGAACCTTATAATAGTATGTTTTTATTACTCCCCTCCTAGCCTTTATTGTCATACATTTTGCACATATATATGTTTCATAATTCAATGTTATTGTTTTTCCCTAAATAATAAATTATATTTTAAAGATTTTTAATAAGAAAAATAATTTTTTTTAAGATTTTTATTTATTTGACAGAGAGAGATACAGTGAGAGAGGGAATACAAGCTAGGGGAGTGGGAAAGGGAGAAGCAGGCTTCCCACCAAGCAGGGAGCCTGATGCGGGGCTCGATCCCAGGACCCTGGAATCATGACCTGAGCCAAAGGCAGACACTTAATGACTAAGCCACCCAGGCGCCCCGAAAAATTATTTTTTAAGGAAAATAATTTTATGTATTTACTCATGTAGTTACCACTTTTGCTGCTCATCATTCCTTCACATACATATTTTCATCTGATTTAATTGTCCTTCTGTCTGAAGGATGTCTTTTTCTATTCCTTATATTTCAGATCTATGAGTGATTGATTCTTTCAGCTTTTGCTTTTAGAAGTTATTGCTGGGTATAGAATTCTAGATTGACAGATTTTTCTTTTAGTAACTTAAAAGTGTTGCTCCTCTGTCTTGCTTGCATTATTTGCATTGAGAAATCTGCTTTTATTCCTATCTTTTTTCCCCTGTACATACATACCATTTTTGTCCTGTGGCTCCTTCTAAGATCTTCTCTTTAATACCAGTTTTGAGCAATTTTATTATTTTCTTGTACTTGAGGTTCATTGAGTTTCTTGGATGTGTGGGTTTATAGTTCTATCATATTTGGAAATTTGGGGGCCATTATTTTTTTAAATGTATATTTTTTTCTTTCTGACCATCTTCTCCTTCAGTGATTCCAATTACATGTATTTTTGGCCATGTGAAGTGATTCTCTTTTTATTTTTTAAAATTATTTCTTCTTTGTTTCATTTTGGATAGTTTCTAGCACTAGGTCTTCAATAACTTCTGCAAAGTCTAACCTGTTGTTAACCCCATCTGGTGAATTTTTCATCTCAGACATTATAATTTTCATCTTTAGATGTTCAATTTGGGTCTTGTTAATATATCACATACCTTACCATTTTTGACATATGGAATAGAGTTAGAAGTGTTTTAATGTCTTTATATGCTAATTCTATTGTCTGGGTCAATTTAAATGGATTAGCTTCTCTCCTCATTATGGGTTGCATTTTCCTACTTCTTTGCATGCCAGGTAATTTTTGACCAAATGCCAGACGTTTTGATTTTTTCCTTGTTGGGTGCTGGGTATTTTTGTATTCCTATAAATATTTTTGAACTCTGTTCTGGGACACAGTTAAGTTACTTGGAATTAGTTTTATTCTTTTGGGTCTTACTTTTAAGATTTGTTAGGTGGAGCCAGAGGAGTGTTTAGTCTAGGGCTAATTATTTCCCACTACTGAGGCAAGACCCTTCTAAGAGCTCCACACAATGGCCCATGAATTATGAGATTTTCCAGTATGGCTGGTAGGAACCGGCACTATTTTTGGCCCCTATATGAGTACTTGGCACTGTTTCATCTAATCCTTGTAAGTTAATAGTTTCCTCACATACATTCATCAGTCTGTACTGTGCTGAATATTGAAACAGGGCCCTCCACAGATCTCTTCAATTTTCTTTCTGTGTAGCTCTCTCCTCTTCATTCCTCTATCTCTATAGTCA